GCCGTCCTAAAGCAAGTGAATGAGGTCTCCAAATAGGTGAGCATGATTACAGTGTCGCCGCTTTTAGGATGGGCTGTGTCGAACAAAATGCGTGCCGAGGGCATTAGGGACAAACCGGTGGATTAGAAGACCAACAGACAATCCGTGCTGGATAAAATTTTTTGTGTCAAACAGCGGTCAGAGTTAATATTCACCTCCGAGGTATGAAGGTGGTGAGGTGGTGCGATTAATGCGTGTCACCTCATCTGACCCTTCTACAACCTAACACACCGTGCTGTCGGCACGACTATATAAGTGTCGGATGTGAGGGCATCACGGTATTGTCGGCATAGTGTAAGTGAGGCGGGGTCTGTGGTGTGTCGTTGTCATGCGTGACAGTGTACCTTGCATCGTCTCTTGTTGATGCATTTTAGGCGTACGAATGGACAATAGCACTGAGAGTGGCGATTTCTTTGCCAAGTTGAATACGCCCACTGCCGGATGGGTAGCTATTGTGGTGTGTGCCATCTGCTTCGGCACCAATCTAATTCCAGTCAAGAAATTTAACATGGGCGATGGTAGGCGTGACATTCACTCTCAATGTCTCCCCAGGTCTGGCATTCCAATGGTTCATGTGCACCGGCGTCCTGGTGGTCGGTGTGGCGGTGCAATTGATAGTGGGCACGCTGTACCGAGTGCCTCACTTTCACCCTCTCGCCATGGTTGGTGGAGCTCTTTGGGCTACTGGTGAGGTCCCTTCTCCAGCACCCAACTCCACCTCACTGCATCTCTTCTCACCTCACCTCACCTCACCTCACCTTAACTCACCACAGCCCCACCTCCACGCCTTCACTTTCCCCCACTCTCATTCCCTTTACTGCTTTGCAGGCAACTCCCTCACCGTCGTCATCATCGAGGCAATTGGTCTCAGTCTGGGCATCCTCATTTGGTCCATTGCCAACATGCTCTTCGGTTTCACCACTAGTCGGTGCATGTCTCACACACACCCACCCACCCACATACGCTAGTGCTAATCGCTCCCCTTCTCCTCTCATTCTCTCTGCCTTGTAGATTCGGTGTGTTTGGCATACCGCCCAAAATACCCTCCAAACCAGTAATGAATTACATTGGCGTTGCAATTGCTGTGATAAGGTAGGTGGGATGGGTAGAATGGCCTCAACAGCACCCTTCAGCATTGCACTGTACGCAGCCATCAAGCCGTCCGGGGAGAAGAAGAGCGGAGAGGAGGAAGGCAACTCGGAGGCAGATGGGGAGAGTGAGCACAAGGGAGGCGTGTGCGCCTCCTGTGGTCCGGTGAGCAATCTGCCCTCCGCTGCTCGACGTGCCCTGTGAGTTACACTGCATCGTCTTCCACCTTCGCATACATGACCGACATGCTAATGACGCAAGTGTGTACTCGTGTGCAGTGGCATCTTCCTCGCCATCGCAGCTGGCTCCTTCTATGGCAACACCTTCGTTCCCACCATCTACATTCAGAGCATGGTGGAGGGTGCGAGTCAGGCCGGGTTGGACTACGTGTTCGCGAATTTCGTGGGAATATGGTTGGCGTCGACAGTCATCTTTGTGCTGTATGCTGCCTTCAAGCGTAACCAGCCGTGGTTGCCCGCCAACCAGGCCATTTTGCCCGCTCTGCTGAGTGGCGTGCTGTGGGGTGTGGCACAGTCCTCGTGGTTCATCGCCAATGCTGCTCTGGGTGAACCCATCACATTTCCCGTCGTCACGACATGTCCGGCCGTAATTGCCACACTGGTGGGTGTGATTATCTTCAAGGAAATCAAGGTTGGTTTGTACTGTCCGCCATCTGCCCCTCATTGCCTCCCACGTCCTCTGCCTGCTTCACTCACCACTCCCCTCTCCTCATCCACATGCAGGGCAAACGCAATTTTATCATCCTCGGTGTGGCGATGGGCGTCACCTTCGTTGGCATCCTCATCAACGCTCTCTCCCTCTAAATGCGTGCACCTTCTGACGCGACAGCTTGCTCGTCCACAACACTTGCTGGTGCAGAGAAAGAGAGTGGGAGGAAGAGATCGTCGTCATTGTTCTCCATAACAGGTCGAATGCGGGATGCTGCAATGCAGTGACGCCACTGCTCTCTCCTTCCACACTCTCCGCCTTCGTCTCCAACTCTCTTCACCACCCGTCCCACACTTAAATGTACGCCGAGCTCTTTCCCCACTTCTACTCAAAAGCATGCCAATATCCCTTTCCTCCTCTCCTTTCCCCCTCTCCTTCCACATCCCGCATCTACTCTCCATCGCCACTCACTTTACAAATGGGATAGTGCTTGATTGAATACAGGCTTTGACAACGTGAGGTGCTGCCTACTTCCGTCTCGACCTGACCATCCCACCTCCTCAGGACAGCTCTTCAATTCACTCCCAGTTGTGGTCGTTGGCATGTCGCGATCACCAACTGCGGCATCACCAGCAAGATTCTCTGTATGGAGTGTGGTTGAGGATGTTTTGGTGTGCACAAGTGATGCCAATCCTTCCGTCAGCGTCAGCTTCATGCACACGTTTACTCTCGAACCTGAATGGGGCATCGTTCTTTTGCGGTTGTCAGCGCTGTCGACCATGATGTGGAGTGATTTCTTCCTGTTCGTCCAAAGGGGAGTGGGGGAATGCAGTGCAGGCGACACGCAACACACTGGGTGGATGCGTTGACGGGTTAGGTGACGAAGAGATGCGCCCTTCCTGCTCCCACGAATACTTTACCTGCTAGAGCATGTTTTCCTGCGATCGCTCTACTCATTCCATCACTGACACACATTGGCCCTCCATGTTAAAACGAGTGTGCACAACGTTGATGCGAGCGGTGAAGCAGTTTGAATTAGTTGCACTGACATTTGTCAGTTTGGGGATTCCACTGGATGCGATTTGTGTTTGTGTGTTGGCGCCATCCAACATGTGGGTCGTGCATCAACATGTCATGCGCCTTTACAACTGCCTGACACACGGTTGCAGTTGTTTTTGCAGGCTCCCGTGCACCAGGAGTATCGACGCACTTGGCACATTTAGTGAGGCTCCGTGGAGGTAGGTAATCGAGCAATGCCTCGCGACAGACTGGTCGCCTTGCCAGTGGGCTCGATTGTCCTGGCGAAGATACACACTGCTGAAGTGGGGTGGAAGAGTTATGCACTTTGGAGTAGTGAAGCAGTGATGAAAATGGGTGGATGAGTGAGAGGAGGAGCACCGATGTCACTGTCGCAGAGTTGACTCAATCCTCGTGTCCTCTCGGATGGGTGAGCGTGTAGCGCGAGATCGCGGATTGCAGTTGTTGCATGCACCTCATTTCCTCCAGGTGACGGCAACAGTGGTGTCGCGATGACAATCCAGGCATCTGCGTTTGGTAGGCCAAGCCGTACTTTCACATGGACAGCAACCTTGATGTGGAGGAGTCCAACCACCCTCGACACCGAAATACCGTTCCTGTTGCCGAGACGCCAAACCAGCAAAATGACTGACCGTGAACATGGCATGCAGCGTTGTTCGCTGTCCAACGGAGGTCAGCTATTCACCTAGCTTGATGAAGGGCGATACTGTATGCAAAGAATACGAAACACACAAATTCCAACTTCTCATCCTCAGGCCACTGCCACCAATGGAGGCATATGAAAGTGGATGTCAGCTAGAACGTTGTGCCAATCGGTTAGATTGGATTGGGTCTGCAAGTGAGACAAGTTGGCTTGTACAAGAAGTTCGCGCTCCCAACATGTGCGTCGTGCGTGTAAAGTAGATTGGTAACTGCAAATATCTCGGGAATGGTCACTCACGCCGCCAAACATTTCAGCAGCAAGGTTAGGGTGGATCGCATAACGCAGGTGTCCAAGTCGTGCTTGTCTGAGATCCTCCCCCAACTGCTCACCTCTTATAGTGTCTCGCACTCGTGAGTTAGAAGTTGTCCGCTTAGGTCGCGCGATCCAAAGAGGGCCACTTTGGCGCAATTGGCATAATTTGGGGATCTTGTTGTGGAAGGTGGTGCGCAACAGCGAAGTGAAGCGTGCAGCATTCGAATGTGCATATGTAGGCGTTGTCTTGTGGGATCGGAGGACCTTAGCCACTCCAAAGCTTGACTGTTCTCTTGTCGACGTGGGAACAAGTAGACGTGGTTGTGAGGTGTGGGTGTCGGTGACTTGCATCATTTGTCTCACTCGCGTTTAAAGCTAGTGACACATTGGAAGGCTTGTGCATCCGTCATTAGAATGAGGCTCAGCCGAAGTGAGGAAACACTGCTGTTGCTCAGTAGGATCGCAATCCGCCCAACGACCTGCAAACACAGCATTGAGGACCACTGGCAGCGTAAGGGGAACATCATCACAGTAGCGACGACTACACCACTCAGCCTTAGTGGAGGCGTATTCGACTATCCCCGAGTTGCCAAAGCGACCCAAGGAAGAGGAGGAGGAGGAAGCAACTTACGATGTCGATGTGTGTGTGGGTGTAGCGTGACATGGCTGCCAGCATCAGTGCCAGTTGTAGTTGCACTGCAACGTCATGTCATGCCAGCTTTTCAGGTTCGCGCATATGAGGGCAGTAGAGGCAATGACGTGCATCTGCCATCTCACTCCTTGCCTTTCTTGGTCTGCAGGTTTTAGTATGGCTGTGGGAGTGCTGTGATGAATAGTCCGATTTGCGAATAGTGTGCACGTAGGCAGAGTTGGTGCCTTTCCTCCCTCAGAGGAGGGGAGGTGGTAAGAGTGGAAGGATTGATTTTCCTTGTAAGTTGCTGGTACCTGTCTTCATCCACCTCCCCATTTTACTTCTTCCTTTTCCTTTTGTAGACCAAACGAGTCAGCAACGAAGGGAAGGGAGGATGGTGAGAGGATTGCAGCATTTCGTCTGTTGCGTCTGTGGTTAAGTCTGCGCAGAAGGACCTTCTTCCTTCTTTTCCACACTCCTCTCCCCTCCTGCCTCCCCTTCTCCTCGTCCTGCAGCACCACTCCTCCTCCCAAATGAAGCAGGTGTTTGTCTCAATAGCCTCTTGCCACTTTTCAGGTGGACCGAATAAAGTAGAAGTGAAACTTGGACGCGACCTTGGTAGTATGGGGTTAAGGCGAAGGAACTCGGTGAATGTTGGAATGCAATGGGCGTGAATGGGGCTATGGCGTATTGCATCGTGGGAAGTGCGTGTTTGTGGTGGAGCACAAAGCACAAGGGATGGAGGGTGTAGCTCTGTCGCGCACAAAGAACGACCTTCCCATTTGCCATTGCTATGAATATGGGTTTGGTTTGACTGGTAAGTTAGCTGTTCACTAGTAGATGTCAAGTTGAATGAGTGCAGATGGATTAAATGTGGGTGGATGGTGAGAAGAATAAGGGGCTGGAGGAGGAGGAGGAGAAAGGGCGGAGGGGGAATGTTTTAGTTAATTATGTGCCAGTTTGCATCTATCTTATGTGCTGTCACTACTGAAAGGTATGCACAAATAGAAGTCGCGAGGAGGGTGTAGTCGTCTTCACAAGTACACACGCAAAGGCTCGAATATTTTTTTCATTTGCACCTGTCGCGTGCATGTGTGCGGAGGCAGATGCGCGGGTTAGGAGATGATGGACTTGGAAAGAAAGCGTGGTACCTGTGCCTTCAGCTGCTGGGTCAGTGTCTGCGTGAATATCGGTCCTTGTGACTGCCGTCGAGTTCAGGTATGAGTGAATGAGTGGAAGTCGATGATGGCGTGACGAGTTTGCGCTAGTGTTCCATGGTTGCGGGTATTGCATAGGGTGGGGGGGGAGGAGGAGAGGGGAAGAAGGGAGGATGAGGGCTGCAACGGAGTGGCCGGAGTGGTCGTCTTGTTAGCCGTCCACGTCTTGCGCGACTTACATTCGAGAACACACTCCATTTCCATTGCCATTCTCCCTTCACCCCTATTCCTCTGTCACTCTGGTCGAATGGTCGACTACAGGCGAATCGAGGTTAATTTGCAGTGTTCCTGCGCCTGTTCTTCTTGCTTATTTCTCACACATCCTATCCCTTCTTCACACCCTTGCTTTCCTGTCTCTCTTGGTGTGTAAATGGGTCCTATCTTTGCTGGCACCCTCATCACTAAGGCGTTTCCCCAATGCAGTAGGTCGCAAGGTTTAGTGAAGTAAATTGCTCGTCTGCGAAATCTGCCGATGCGAAGAGGGGAGGGTGCGATGGAGGTGAATTTATTTCTACCAAAGAGAAAGAATGTGTTGCAGAACGAGTTGGTTTGCTTCTCGATTGCATCATTTGGTTGAATTAAGTTGGAGCAAGCATAGCTGGGCCAGTGGTCGTGGTCGGCAACAAAGTAACAGGACAGTAGAATTCGATGCAGTTAACCGAACCGCAAGTGACGTGAGGGAAAAGGAAGAAATGACGAAAGAGCGGAGGAGACACGAGAGCTCGGCTCCGACGCCGAAACGCATTGATTGATGTGGTTGACTGCTCTGTATGCCGTCTCCTGCTTTCCTATCCAGTGGCACTCCTTAAGCAAAGCGTGGCGCGAGTCATTTTGACTGTTTGGTGGGTCGAATGAAGGGTCATATACTGTCACATTGGTTGGGGCACGGAGTGGCAAGGAATTCGGAGAATCGAGGGGCCATACGCGGCATTGCCCTACCTCGCCTCTGTGCGTTGTGCATAAGAGGAATGCAAAGGCAATTTAAAGTCGATTGCGTAATTGTAATGTGGAGTGCTGTACAGAAGTTGACATGGGCATGAACACTTACGAGGGAGGGATTACCTCATGGGTACAATGGAGGATGAGGGGTGGAATGTGCGAGAATATTGGGAATACCTTGAAACGTCTCCTCGGACTAAGTGCCCTCTCACAGCCACTATCAACAGCGAAGACCTTCGCTCCGTGTCAGGTGAGTTTGATGCGAGAGAAGAGATGAAGTGGGAGCAAGTAGACACCTACATATGAGCGTCGTCTCTATGCGACCATTCGAATCCACTTTGTGGTTGGTCAGCCACGCCTACCTCTTTGGTAGCC